CAAGGGATTGTTTTGTTTCAAATAAAAGAGGTAACTAATAGAGTTGTTTTTCTAGCCTGAGATAAGGAACATAAGGAACCAGGATGTAACACTAGGATTACTGGATTCCAAGCAAAATTTTGCATAGTCTTTCTCTTCTTAAACATTGTAGGTTGTTCGAGTTAGTGCGACATGGAGTACAATGTATAACTCACTGAAGGAGGCTACCTCCAACTGCTCAACTTAGATGAGTTTGCATAATTAGGAGGCAGGACAGCAGGGTCAAGCAGTTGTGCACAGATCCTGAGAGCCAAAAGGCTAGCTCCTTCCTTTTATTGGCTACTAATAAAACACATAGTATCTGTTCACTTTCCTGAGGGAATTTGAGCTAATTTAATGCTTCACTAAGCTCTTAGCCCCTAGAAATTCATATGTCGTGGACCCCTGAGTTAGATATTCTTAACTCCATACCCGGATATGAATACATTATCCTAAATGAACCGATAATGTGTTCTAAACAGAAGATAGGAAATACAGATATGAATAGGAGGTGCACATTTTTTGAGCAAGTGGTCAGATATGAAGCTTGTGGGACAAAGAAAGACCACATTCTTTAACGTTCATTCATTCATTCATTCATTCATCCTTAGTAACTGCCTGGTCAGGGTTGTGGTGGTTTAAATTAGCCTAGTAGTTTGTTTATATTTTGAGAAATAGAACCAAATAATTTTATTAGGGCAGGCACAAACAAACTGCATGAACAGGGTTTAAAAAAAAACAGCTCTGAGCAAATCTCTAGTTGAGACAAATTAAGAAGTCAAGTGATGTAGCTGAGGTTGAGGAACTGTCAACTGTGTGTGTGTGTGTGTGTGTGTGTGTGTGTGTGTGTGTGTGTGTGTGTGTGTGTGTTTTCGGAGGCATAGTGGTAGGGGTCATATTAAATTTAAAAAAACAGAAAGAATGAAAGAAAAAAAAATCCTTACGGTTTAGGCCATGCCCGCTTTGGGTTTAAATCCAAATACAGATACAGATATGGGTATTTGAAGCCCTAAACAAATACAGACAGAGATACAGATAGTGCCATTGTATTACACCCCTAATGTTCATAAATATTCTTTAAGCATCAGCACATTCTGGATGTGCTCTACATCAAGGTGAGTGTCATACACTGTAGGCATGTGAGGTCTAAATACTGATTCATGCTATCTTACCCTATTTTGGGAATGTTTCCTAAAATAGGGTAGTGTTTATTTGTAGTCATCATGTTGCACATCTCAGTCACATTTGTCAAGTTTTTTCCCCCATGCTATGCTGCTGAATATGTTTTTCCTGGAGGGAGCCAATGCTTACACTTGGTATCTCTGGAATTGATCTTTAGGCACCCTGAGGGAGCACCTAGAAATCTATACTTCCCCAAGCAATAAGTGGACTTCCTGGTTTGATTGATTTGGTCAGAGCTCTCAGGCAGTGTTGGCAGCCAAGGTCTTGTGCAAAAGGAATTAAATAAGTAAAGCTATTTCAGGCTCCAGTCTCCCTGGTAGTTAAATATAGTAGTAGTAGGCCATTTTCCACTGCCAAAACCATAGGTGTTATAATTATAATACAAGTCAGGATACTAGGGAAAGATTCAGGCAGTGATTAAGTTCTTGATCCCCAAATTAATGACTATGATACTAAGATTGCGCCTGCCATTTTACAGTTTTCCTAGTGTTCTTACTTGTATTACAATTATAACACCTATGGTTTTGGCATTGGAAGAGGGCCTACTACTACTGTGATACTTGATAGTTTTTTTTTCTGCATTGATGAACTTGATTGGATGCTAAACTGAAATGACTGGATGCTAAACTGACCCCATTCAACTGATATATAGTGTACAGTCATTGGCTGGATTTTGGCTGGACTACCCTGAATGTCTATTAAAAACGAGTAAAATGTAAGGTTTTTTTTCTTGGAAATGTAATTAAGAGTTCAATTTCAACAATACTAGAGCATAAATATGCAAAATAATACTTAAGTATAGTAATGAAGTACAATTACTCAAGTGATTTCCACACCCCTAATGTTCAGAAATATTCTTTAAGCATCATCACATTCTAAATGTGCATCAAATTCTGTGAACTACATATGTCACACTCATGCAGGGGTGGGAAAATGTTGTCACTATTTTGTCACCTTTTTGATGTCCTGGTTATATGTTGGAGTATAATTTTGCTTGTTGTTTAGGTACAGTGAAGCTTACGGTGAAGATTGCTACAGTTTTGAATATTGTTGTGCTTTATCTGTGCTGGAAACAAAACTGAAATTGCGTTTATAACTTTCATGTTCTTTTGGTATGCTCCATTGAAAATCGGGTTCATAGAACCCAAACACAGGAAGGAACTAAGAAGTTGGGAGATTAGAGAACCTGAAAACATTATATAACCCATGTCATACAAATAGCATCCTGTTTAGGGGAGACTGTGGTTTGGTATGCACCTCAAGTATTCGTGACTCTGAAGATTATTAATTATCTGTCCCAATGTAGGTTTACAGAATTGTTTATGAGAATAAATAACAACTCAATTGACATAACCACGTTTGAGCTAGTTTAGAGGATAAATAGATACAGATTTTTCAATATTACACACACCAAGAGCAAAGATAAATAATGAATGACTCTTTCCCAATTTAACTTGAGTTTGAAAGGCAAAAATACACATAACTATGAACTGAATATGTAACAGTACAAATGGCTCAGTGAGAATAACTTGGCTGACCATTATTTACTATCTTCCTGCCAAATTACAGAACAAATAAGTGCCTTACTTGTTTCAAAAACTTAAAACTCCTTCACGCCAAAACCTTTTTTCCTCTTGTAGTATAATATCAGACTCTTTCATTCTCCCACTGTTAAGCTGACACTCTCACATGCTGTCATTTCTCTCTCTCTCTCATCTCATTGGTTGTGGCTCCTGCCTGTCACTGTGTGGCCAGACTTCGTTCAGCTGTATAATGTACACTATATTGCCAAAAGTTTTGGGACGTCTGCCTTTACATGCACATGAACTTTAATGACATCCCATTCTTAATCCGTAGGGTTTAATATGATGTTGGCCCATCCTTTGCAGCTATAACAGCTTCAACTCTTCTGGGAAGGCTTTCCACAAGGTTTAGGAGTGTGTTTATGGGAATTTTTGACCATTCTTCTGGAAGCGCATTTGTCCAAATGTCTTGGTATGCTGAAGCATTAAGAGTTCCTTTCACTGGAACTAAGGGGCCAAGCCCAACCCCTGAAAAACAACCCCACACCGTAATCCCCCCTCCACCAAACTTTACACTTGGCACAATGCAGTCAGGCAAGTACCGTTCTCCTGGCAACTACCAAACCCAGATTCGTCCATCGGATTGCCAGACAGAGAAGCGTGATTCGTCACTCCAGAGAACACGTCTCCACTGCTCTAGAGTCCAGTGGCGGCGTGCTTTACACCACTGCATCCGAAGCTTTGCATTGCACTTGGTGACGTAAGGCTTGGATGCAGCTGCTCGGCCATGGAAACCCATTCCATGAAGCTCTCTACACACTGTTCTTGAGCTAATCTGAAGGCCACATGAAGTTTGGAGGTCTGTAGCTATTGACTCTGCAGAAAGTTGGCGACTTCTGCGCACTGTGCGCCTCAGCATGCGCTGACCCTGCTCTGTGATTTTACGTGGCCTACCACTTCGTGGCTGAGTTGCTGTTGTTCCCAATTGCTTCCACTTTGTTATAATACCACTAACAGTTGACCGTGGAATATTTAGTAGTGAGGAAATCTCACGAATGGACTTATTGCACACGTGGCAACCTATCACGGTACCACGCTTGAATTCACTGAGCTCCTGAGAGCGACCCATTCTTTCACAAGTGTTTGTAGAAGCAGTCTGCATGCCTAGGTGCTTGATTTTATACACCTGTGGCCATGGAAGTGATTGGAACACCTGAATTCAATGATTTGGAGGGGTTTCCCAAAACTTTTGGCAATATAGTGTATGTATACAAATATCCTGCCAGTTCAGACCAGTTTAGACCTTTTTTTTTAATTAAAAAGGTAATCCCAGGATATTTCCTGTTTCCTTTAGGGTAAAAAATAAAAAAAAAGTCTCTGTATGGTATTAATTGATACTGAAAATGAGGAAATTATGTCATAATCTTGATAAGGCTGTCTACTAATGGAGGCCATTTGGCTGGGACTAAACTGAATAATTCTGAAAGGATTGACAGGAAAATGAAGAATGTGGACAACGTGTGGGGAACATTTTGTATTTTTATTTGTGAAAGTGACTCAAACATGGAATGCTAAGTGGGAACCACAATGCACTGGATGTTTCTATTCACATGATTTATTAAAGGCATAATATTGCAAGACTTCAGGAATGTCACAGGCTGCTTATATATTCCATATTTAGAATGTTTACTGCATTTCTCTTCTACTATAAATCTTCTCCTGTGTTAATGAATATAGGCTGGCCCAATCAGAAGCATAAATCAGGTTGTAATTTAATCACTGCACTGAACTATTACAGTATATTGGAACATGCTATTTCCCAGTTTTTCATATTACTGATCCCCAGTATGTGTTTTATTATACTATCATCATCATTATTCTAGCCATTCTCTTTCACCCTCTGTCTCTGATAATGGATAGTAATATAAAATCATGCTTATTTTTCCTGTCCACACTATATTATCACACTCGGATAATTTGCTCTCTCAATACTTATTCTCGGGCACACAGTCTGTGTTAGTGCCAGGTACGACGTTACTCAATCAGTATGTAGGACTACTGCTGAGATCAATTACAGCACTGTAAATCTGATACACATGCACTGCAGTGCAATATAACACAGTCTGTTTATTTAGGCTATTGCATGAAACTGATGTATGTTCCAAGTAAAACCGTTTTTGGAAGCTAGGAAGTGTATTCAAGTGTATGTATTCAAAAAACCCAATTATTTTGAGTAAGACCAATTTTTTTTTTCTACACACTGAGGACATTTGAGGGTCCCTGGAGGACTAGTGCTTAGGCCATGGCATTCTCACTGCCGTGGCCCGTGTTCGATTCCTGGCCAGGGAACACACGACAGTGCACTCCCAGTGCCGGTCCCAAGCCCGGATAATTTGGGGAGGGTTGGGTCAGGAAGGGCATCAGGTGTAAAAACTGTGCCAAATCAAATATGCAGACCAATGATCTGCTGTAGCAACCCCTAACAGGAGCAGCCGAAAGAAGAAGTTCAACAATAACAACACTGAGAACATTTGGATTTAAGATCAAAAGATGAATATGAGATAATAGATCAGAATTTCAGCTTTAATTTCCTGATATTTACATCTAGATGTTTGAAACAACTTAGAATGTGGCACCTTATGTTTGAACCCACCAATTTTTTACAGTGGTCAAAAATATTGGAACATTGCCGACACGATATTGAAACATGACTGACAGATGTTTCTTGTTGCCTGGGTGTGCCACATTAGATTAATTGTTTAAAAATTAATAGCTCTGAAAGTCTACCCTTAGTTTGAGCCCTGGGTTTCACCTGTGAAGACTGCATTTGTTGTTAAAAAAGGATAAACCAACATGAAGACCAGAGAGCTGTCTATGGGAGAAAAACAAGCTATTTTACATTTCAACTTACATTTACATTTATGGCATTTGGCAGACGCCCTTATCCAGAGCGACTTACAAACGTGCTTTGAAGTCTCTATCAATAAATACATTCTGATACTGGTTTGCTAGGTCACAAACTAAGAATACCATCAGTCCAAAACTCTGTTGGGGAGGTAATATAGGAACAAGCGCTCAGACAATATAGGTTTTTTTTTCTAAATCCAGTGCTAATTTAAGTACTTTAGGAAGAGGTAAGTCTTTAGATGTCGTTTAAAGACTGCCAGTGCCTATTTTGAAGCCAAGAAAAGAGGGAAATTAAATCAGAGCCATTGCACAAGTATTGGGCATAGCCAATACAACAATTTGAAATGTCCTGAAAAAGAAAAGGAACCACTGGTGTACTAACACCCAGACATGGAACAGGTCGGCCAACTACCGCAGCTGACGACAGAAACACTGTGAAGAAAAATCCAAAAACAACAGTCAGTGACATCAACAACAACCTCCACAGGTCAAGGGTGAAGGTATCACAATCCTCCATTCCAAAAAGACTTTGAGGGCAGAAATATAGGGGACATACCACAACATGCAAACCACTGATCAGCAGTAAGAATCGGAAGGCCAGATTGGAATTCACAAAGAAATATAGAGATGAGCCACAAAAGTTCTGGAACCCAGATTAACCTCCACCAAAGTGATGGAAAGGCCAAAGTGTGGAGAAAGAAAGGATCTGCTCATGATCCAAAACATATGAGCTCATCGGTCATGGCTTGGGCTTGCATGGCTGCTTCTGGAATGGGCTCACTAATCTGTATTGATGATGTAACTTATAACGGTAGCAGCAGAATGAATTCAGGAGTCTACGGAAACATTCTGTCTGCTAATTTACAGAGAAATGCATCCAATTTAATTGGGAGGAACTTCATCATGCATCATGCACCAAAACACTCTGCCAACACAACAAAGGAATTCATCAGGGGAAAAAAGTGGAAGACTGGCCAAGGCAATTACCAGACCTTAACCTGATTGAACATGCATTTCACCTCCTGAAGAGGAGACTGAAGGGAGAAATCCCCAGAACAACCAACAACTGAAAAAAGATGTGGTACAAGCCTGGAAAGGCATCACAAAAGAAGAATGCAAGAGTTTGGTGATGTCACTGGGTCGCTAGCTTGATAGCTTGAGTTATTACAAGCAAGGGATATGCAACCAAATATTAAGTGTTATTTACTTTAAGATGATCCATTCCAATACTTTTGCTCACCTAAAAATTGGATGGTCTGCCACCAAAGGTGACATGTTCTAAGTTGTTTAACATATCTAGATATCAGGAAATGAAAGCTGAAATTCTGATCTTTCCTCTCATATTCATCTTTTGATCTCAAACCCAAATGTCTTCAGAGTATAGCAAAAACAAAAGACTTGGCCTTGCCATTGCAATACCTTTGGATGGGACTGTACACTGGAAATGTGCATGTTTGGGTGAAAATGGTTAAATTTGTAATTCTGAAGTGTTAGCGACTCCAGCACCAAGCTCCAGACTTGACTGACCAGATAAATTGCTGCTCTGATTAATTAGCACCAAGAACATACACTGTTCTGGAAGAGCAGTAATGCTATTGTGATCTGAAATGGTGTTATTTAATGGGGATGGTGCATGTATTTTTCATTATTTGATATTACATTTAATTAATATTTCACTTCATAGTAGTACTGTTGCCATGGAGATCCCTTAAGCCCAAAGAAAGCTCTTTCCTCGCAACCTTCACAGTCAGATCTAAGGGTTAGACATGACTAATCAGTAAATGCACTTGTAGTGTTCAGGGACTGAGTAAGCACTCTCCTTTTCTGCCTCCCCCACAGTATGGGAGCATGAGTCAGAGGTTTGTGTCTGCGTGAGAGATAGTGTAGCTCCAAATGGCAGTGTTGGCACTGGAAAATGAGTCAGCCATTGATGGATTAGAGGGAGAGGTTTTATGCTGCAAGAACTCTCTCTCTTTCTCTCTCTCTGACACACACACACACACACACACACACACACACACACATGCACTCTCACATCCATGCACTTACAGCTCATTTCTGGTAATTCTGTCTCTTATAAAGAGCATCATGCTGGGATGTCTGTAACACATTGCACATGTAGCACAAATAGCTTTAGGTTGCAGAGCATATTTTAAGTGATTAACAACATCATGTAGAGTTATGAATAATGCTGAAAAACATTATGCTCTCACATGGTCACAGATGTTTTTTGATAGTCATGGGCTTGAAAGTGGTTTTACGCCCTTTAACTTGATGCTTTTTTGTTAATAAAACATCCTGATGAGACGCTATGATGAATATTAATACATTAATATGTATTGGAATATCCCTGCTAGCTTTCCACAGACTCATGGCTGGATCTCAATATCCCATGCAGACAGAGTGCTTAAACGCTCGTTGAATCAGTGGCATTCCATGCACAGGGGATTCAGCTGACGCTGTGTGTCCCGATATAAACGCACCACTTTGTTGTGTATTGAGCAGTGGTTCATGTTTTATTCATAGAGCGGATGTTTTATTGATGCAGTCTCAGATTTCTAAGTATGGGGAGTGGGAGCTAGAGGGTGTTAGTGCATCTCACTAATTCAGGCCAAAACCGCAACGCAGCCAGCACTATTAGCTCTTATTCGCTAATATGATGACTGGGAACAGGTGGGACATGGACAGCTGAAATGAGGGACTTGGAAGTTACCAACATAAAAGAGTGTTTCTTATATGAACAGTGAATACTTGTCTCAGTGTTTGCCTAGCAGTATCAGATTATTTTCTATTTGAGAGTTAACCATGTTAACTGGTTGTGGCTTTTTATAATTTGAGCTGTCAAAGACATGTGTTATAGCAAGAGATGATCAGAAAAATGATTGGGAATAATGCATAGTGGGATTCTGTGAGTTGTGGTTTCTTGCTGTTTTATCAAGACACTTTTATAGGATTTCAGCTCGTGCTTTTAATAAGCAAATAGTGAAACATTTGAAATGGGTTTATTAGAGCAATAGTGATTATTTCTCATTGCATACAAGTTACTTATTCCCTTATTTCTTATTTCTACTTTTTATAATTTAGTTTAAAAAGTAAAAACCTGCAAACTATGAATAAAACATGTGCTTCAAGTGTATATATATTCAGCTATATATTCAGCTGTCAAAAACAATATTTCACAGAAGTTCAGATAGAATATAGTTGATAATTGCTGCATTCCTAACCTTAAATCTTTACTTAAATTAATAATTGTGAGATACCCTGGCCTCTTTCACACACAGTTTCTTCATGTGCTTTGTTTTATCTTACAGAACCTTTGAACCACAAGTTTTTTTAAAAGTGCTATGTCATTATTTCGACTTAATATTTCTGATTGATATTTCTAGTTATCATTTCATTATTTTTACATATTATTTTCACTCCTAACACATAACCTGAGGGAATTATGACCATAATGGTCATAGCGGTCATTTTGTCCATTTGAATTTGAAGTACCATAGATGAGTGCACTGCAGCGAATTAGCAGTCATTAGGCCTATACACCAACCGGCCACTTTAATAGGAACACCTGTACACCTGCTCAGTTATGCAGTTATCCAGTCATTAAATCATGTGGCAGCAGCAGCACAATGCTTAAACTCATACAGATACAGGTCAAGAGCATCATTGAATGACAGGATAACTGCATAAATGAGCAGGTGTACAGGTGTTCCTAATAAAGTGGACAGTGAGTGTATGTGCACTTAAGCTTACTGGCTTACTGATAATCTGAGAAACAGCATTCAAAATAAGAATAAGCTAATATTCAATAAGAATAAGCTAATATTCAATAAAGAAATTGAGCCCATTCGATTGATATACAGCATACAGTCATTGGTTGGACAAATATACAATTTCAAATATTCAATTTCAATAATACTCAAAGTATAAATATACCAAAATAATACTTAACTGAAGTTACAAAGTACAGTTACTCAAGTATTTTACACCCCTGATTTCCAGCCCTACATACCGATATCTTTCCTCTAGATCTCACTGTAGATGTCACTTTAGTCACTGTTCCTATTGAAACACCAGCCAGTAGAACAGTGTTTGTTAATGAAGCTTACTGCCGAAGCTTACTGCCGAACTACGCTGAACTTTCTTTCATAGTGACTTAGATCTTTTCCTCATGCCATGTTGATCCAAAATTGAGGTCAACTGGGCCTCAGCATTTATATACATAGCACAGAACATGGCAGAATTTTACATTTTAGATTTTTTGGCTGATTTTAATTTCCTTAAAATGTTTACTGTAGAAGAACGTGGCATATATGAGCAGTTTATTCTAATGCAAAACAAATTCTCATCTAAATTCAACCACTGGATCAAAGATTTTGTGTGCCTGACACAGGAAGACATTTATTACTCCAAGCTGAGATTGGGTACTTTTGGCCACTGAA